AGGTTGTCTTTTGATCTGCCAATTCCACTTCTAAGTCTGTTCAGGGACTTCCAAGTTACCAATTCTTAGTTTGTCCCTGGAGGAAGACCCTTGTGGGGGGAGGGGGCATCCATTTGGGATTTCCTGGTTTAGCTGCTCAGAGGGATACTTAAAAGTGAAGTCCATGACACCTGGACGGCTGTCTCCCCACTGGGCAGACAGAAGACTGAGTGACTTGGAAGGTGCTGAACAGACTGTGCTCTGGCACCATGAGACGCAGAGCTAACCTTAAGAAATAGGGCTCCAAAGTGGAGTCCACAACATGCGAGTGTGGAGAGAAAACCACAGACCGCTTATTACATTCTAGCCTGAACTGTGTTACATGACAAGGGAGGACCTTCTTACAGCAACATCAGAGATGCTCCAAGTGGCCAGCTTCTGGTCAAAAGAAATTTAGCACAATTTCAAGCTTTTAACTTTGCTTATTGTTTTTGTATGTATTATAACTGTATTCTCAATTAGCTTCTGACAAGATACATAAATAAATAATAACCGGAGGAGTGTGAGCGACACTTTTATTACCAGCCTTAATCTGCACAGAAGGGTTATCCAAAACATCTTTTGTGCTCTAAATCCACAACTGTTGCTTTTTAAAAATATACTAGCATCATATTTCAAAAAGCCGATTTTAACCAAATACAGTTACACTCTCTATAACAAATTTTGCCTTAACTAGAGAGAAAAGTACACATGCTAAAATTTGCAGCGAGCTATGTTCTGCCTCAAACAAAAAACTGCAGGATCCAACCCTATACTTGCGGCAGGAAAGCAAAACCACAAAGTGGAATATTGCACATTTAGCACATTTCTCAGAATGTTGGTGCTTTGGAGATGATCCTTGAAGGCTAGGAACATTTCAAACAGGATTGAGGCTGCCATCCTATAAATGGATTCCAGGGGTAAGTCTTATTTTACTCGATGGGGGTTACTTTTCAGTAGATGTGGGATCTGCACAAGTACCATTATTTTTCATCAGCTTAATCATTAAAAGTCCTGAATGGACAAATTCTATTAGTCTAATTCAGAAAATTGCACTGGCTAGACCACATAATAATAATAACAACAACAACAACAACAACAACAACAACAACAATTTATTTATATACCGCTCCATCTCCCCGAGGGGACTCAGAGCGGTTCCCAGGTAACATCACAAAACATACAAAGTAAAAAACAACATAACCATAAGATTAACCAAACAAAATATAAGCATAAAAATTGTTGCCATAATAAAAGTAATCCTGCCTTTTCAAGGCAATTTAAAAATTTAAAAGGTTGGGTCAAGATTTGTGCAAGCCCAAAAATTCTAGGGGGCCTGGGAATTAAGTGCAATGCTATGGCAGGCAACTATAATATTAGGTACAGGTCTGCGGCTGTTCATTCTGGGGCCAATTAGAGGCAAGAATCTGGGTAATTGGTGGGAAGAATAAGGCCATATTTGACAATGTGTAGGGCTGAGTTAGAACTGGTCATTTTCAAAGGCTTGTTGAAACCACCAGGTTTCAACAAAAGGAGGACAGGGATGGGGCCTGTCTTATTTCCCTTGGAAGGGCGTTCCAGAGATGGGGGCCCACCACTGAGAAGGCCCTCTCTCTCGTCCCCACCAACGGTAGTGAGATCGAGAGGAGGGCCTCCCCGGAAGATCTTAGAGCTCGTGCCGGTTCATAGTTTCCGATACAGAACACATACCATCCAGCAATCTCCATCTGTTCGCCCACAGAAAACCATATTTAATACTCTAGAGCTGTTGTGATAGTAGTAACCTAATCAGCCTCTCCCCTCCCGACATCCCCATTGCCTCGGCACTATAAGAGGGTTTCCTGAGATCAGTCACTCTCATTGCTATGTGATCTCGAGGCAATGGTGTAGTAACTGTGAGGCTGCGGAACATATTTTCGTTCTTGCGAACCACTGATGGTCCACGGACCACAGGTCAAGAATCACTGGTTTAGGGTTTTATAGGCTTTGAATTGTGCTCAGTAGCAGACTAGCAGACAGTGGAGCTGGCATAGCAGTGGAGCTGTACACCGCTCCGGTGAGAAATCTGGTTGCTGCCTGTTGGTACAAGGGAGAGAGCCTTCTCCTCTGTGGCTCCCCGACTTTGGAACTCTTTACCTGGAGAGATCAGGAAAGCCCCTTCACTAGAAACCTGGCTCTTCCACTACGCCTTTGATGAGTAGGTGCACACCATGACATTTTGCACCACTCAACGTTTTTGCTACTGGAGCTCGAGCCCTCCAAATGGGAAGTTTAGCCTCACAACTGTGTTTTATGAGTTCCCCATAAATATCCTGCTCCTATTTTATCTCATTACAGTCTTTTAATTGTTTTGTCCTTTACATGTGGCCCGCCCATTGTTATCGTTACTGTGATTGTGTTTATTAGAATGTTATTTGATGACTGTTTTTTTTTCTTATGTAATTTTGATGTTGTTGTTGTTGTTTGTTGTTTATGCTGTAATGTGTTGTCCGGGCTTAGCCCCATGTAAGCCACTTCAAGTCCACACTGGGGAGATGGTGGCGGGGTATAAATAAAGATTATTATTATTATTATTATTATTATTATTGGACCACTTCAAGCTTCCGAACAGTCTTCGAAGACAACCCCACATAAAGCACGTTGCAGTAGTCTATTCAGGATGTAACAAGAGCATGGACGATTGTGACCAAGCCTGGCCTTCTCAAGGTATGCAACAGGTGCACAATTTTTAATTGTGCAAAAGCTCCCCTGGCCACCGCTGAGACCTGGGGTTCCAGGCTCAGTGACGAATAATCCACATTATTCACATTACAGTGGTCCCTCTACATTTGCAGATTTCCTTTCATTTTTATCAACTCCTAAGCAATTTCTTTGCCAGTGGAGGTATATTTTAACCTGCTGCTGAACAAATTGAACCTAAAGCTGAGGAATTTCCACTTCCATTCTTGTTAAACTAGCTCAAATGTAAGATCATTTTATTTCCTAAGATGTGGTTCAATGACCACTGCCCTCTGCATGATCCATTGAGATAACCCCCAATTTTCATTAAAAAGAAAGCTGTTCACTAGAAACTACAACTTAAGTAATGCTTGAGTTAATATTTTTTAAAACACTCTAGACAAAATCACTGTTCTCCAAATAGTTAAGTTTAAAATATATTTAGATAGGATCCAAATCACAACAAAATGAATGCCACACAAAAATCCTGAGCAAGAAAAAAGTGTTTCAAAATTCTCCTTGTTCATAAACTGCTACATCAGGGGTCCTCAAACTACAGCCCAAGGTCCGGATACGGCCCTCCAAGGTCATTTACCCGGCCCTCGCTCAGGGTCAACCTAAGTCTGAAATGACTTGAAAACACACAACAACAACATCAATCCTATCTCATCAGCTAAAAACAGGCCCACACTTCCCAATAAAATACTAATAAGTTTATATTTGCTAAAATTGTTCTTCATTTTAATTATTGTTTTGTTTTTAAGTGTTTTTGTACTACAAATAAGATGTGTGCATAGGAATTCATTTGTGTTTTTTTTTCCAAATTATAATCCGGCCCTCCAACAGTTTGAGGGACTATTTAAAAGTTTTAAAAGTTTAAGGACCCCTGTGCTACATGATGGGTACAATTCATTAATTTGATCCTTGGCCTATTTTACATATCTGTTCTCATTAAACAAGAAAGGTTGCCACAAAAATCTTGTCATAAAGAAATATTGCAAAAATATTTAATTCAACACAATGCACACTTTGCAGAAAAACTATAATTGTTCCTACCAATCCACTAACTGAAATGCAGCTCTTTTCAATATATTATTGCCCAATCTGACTGTACTTTATCTACAACTTTTTTGCTGTTTGAGGGTAGAACGCAAATAGTTTTGATTGGAAAAACAAGTTAAGCAGGCTAGTATTATCTACTGGTATACACAAAATCATTAACCATATGAGTGTGTGTCACTTTTTAAATAAAACAGCAAGTTGCGACACTCAGTCACAATGTCCAGTTCATGTAATTATACCCCAAAGTGCATGCTCCTGATACCTTGTCATTATTATTATTATAGTATTATATTATTAGAATATACTATAATAATAATAATAATAATAATAATAATAATAATAATAATAATATTATTATTTATGTATTTATTTACTATATATAAAACAATGACCAAAGAAACACACTGGAGAGGATGGAGGGGATTCACCTTGATTTATAGCCGTTGTAGGTACTGAGATTTATAGTTCACTTGCAATCAAAGGGTACTCTGGACCCCACCAATGATGGCCCTGGACCTAACTTGGAACAGAATGACCATGCCCAAATGAAAATACTGGAGGCAGGGGGGGACTGGCCTTCCTTTCTGGGAGTTGTAGTTCACCCACAACCAGAGAAACTGTGACCTCCACCGAAGATGGACCTGGACCAAACTTGGCAAACAGTACCCCCATGACTAACTCAACCTACTGGAGGGGTTTGCGAGGACTGACTCACCATAGAGGGAGTTGTAGTTTACCCTGCAGCCAGAGGGCACACTGAACCCCACCAATGATGCATCTAGAGCAAACTTGCCCAACATAACAAACTTTAAGTACTGATGGAGTTTCTCAGGATTTATTTTATTTATCGTGTCAGGGGCAGACCAAAAAGTTGCACTGCATTTTTAACAAAACAAACAAACAAAACACAAAGTTTGCAAGCTTGGTAGCTAATTAAATGTCCTCGGGATTAACCTGGCATGATGTGAGTTGTAGTTCATCCACAACCTTGGGCATTTTGTACAATTACAAAAATAACTTGGGCTATGGCAGGTACCCAAGCTAGTAGAAAATAAAACAGCCTATGGAATAATTGCTGGATACCATTTGCAGATTATATCATTGATTGACCAGGACCATGAGTCTACAATCACTGCAATAGCATATGCAGTTTGTATAAGAAAATAATTTATTTGCAACCACATCTCCAATCAGATACTCACAGAATCCTTCTATCTTGTCAGCTGTCTTACTCCATGCTACCTGCCTGGTTTCCATAATAACCTGGATTGTCCTCCTCTCTGGGTTACTCTTTTTCAGGCTGTACACCGTCATGACAGTCCCCAGCTCCAATGTCCTTTTGATTTGACTCTTCTCATACTCGGGAAGTTCCCCACAGTCTATGCTTCTCCTGGACATTTTCAGCGTGGAGGCAGGAAGTCTTCAACAGGCTGAGAAGAAAAGGAGGAGGAAGAATAAAGATTATGGTTGTAAAAATTGCCTTTATTTTTGTTTCCTCTAAAAAATTCAAGAAGCAAAACTCATTTAGAATCAATAACTTCTCTTGAGATCAAGGTACACATTTCTGAATTAGCTATCTTTTATAAATAGCCTTATTTAAAAAATAGTTTGATATAATAAAAGAAAGAGGTTACACTACACTACATTACACTAGATCACAAAGCAACTGGCTTTGGCCTATAAAGCCCTGAACGGTTCTGGCCCAGTTTACTTGTCCGAACATTATCTCCCGCTACGATCCACCTAGGGCCCTAAGATCATCTGGCGAGACCCTGCTCGTTGTTCCCCCATTGTCGCAATCGCGTCTGGTGGGGGACAAGGGACAGGGCCTTTTCTGTGGTGGCCCCCGGGCTATGGAACTCCCTCCCGAGTGAAATTAGATCCACTGTATCCCTCTTGACCTTCCGGAAACAAGTAAAATCCTGGCTATGGGTTCAGGCCTTTGTAGATTAGGCTGACTTGCTGACATGTTGACTTATATAGAACTGATGGACTGCCCTTGGATGATGATTTAAACTGGTGACAGCTGACTGATTGATTTATTGTTTTTATACTGTTTTATACTTTTTAATATTGTTATTATTATATTGCCATTAAATTGTGTATCTATGTTTTTTATGTGGGTGCCATGGGGTGCCGATTTGTTAGCCGTCCTGAGTCCCTCTGCGGAGGTTGAGATAGGACGGGATATAAAAGCCCGATATAAATAAACAAATAAATAAAGTAGATTAGCCTCAGCAATAACTAAAAAAATAAATTTGCATTGTAGAAAACTTTGCAGGAATGCTTCTATTTAACAAAGCATTGTCATAAATGATTAGTCCCTCATTGTATTATACCAGTGGTTCCCAACCTTCCTAAATACAGTTCCTCATGTTGTGGTTGCCTCCAACCATAACATTATTTTCGTTACTACTTCATGACTGTAATTTTGCTACTGTTATGAATTGTAATGTGAATATTTGATATGCAGGATGTATTTTCATTCACTGGACCAAATTGGGCACAAATCCCCAATATGTCCAAATTTGAATACTGGTGGGGTTTGTGAGGGGATTGATTTTTGTCATCTGGGAGTTATAGTTGCTGGGATTTATAATTAACTTACAATCAAAGAGCATTCTAAACTCCACCAACAATGGACTTGAAGCAAACTTGGCATACAGAGCTCCCATGACCATCAGAAAATACTGGAAGGGACATTGACCTTGAGTTTCGGAATTGCAGTTCACCTACATCCAGAGAGCACTGTGGACTCAAACAATGATGGATCAGGACCAAACTTGGCACAAATACTCAATGTGCCCAAATATAAACACTGGGGGAGTTTGGGGAAAATAGACCTTGACATTTGGGAGTTGTAGTTGCTGGGATTTATAGTTCACCTACAATCAAAGAGCATTCTGAACTCCACCAACGATAGAATTGGGTCAAAAGGTAATGGCAATCCATGCAGTCATGCCAGCTTCATGACCTAGGAGGTGTCTACGGACCACGCCGGCTCTTCGGCTTAGAAATGGAGATGTGCACTCACAGCATGATCCAGGGTAACCCCCAAGTATTTTGGTGTGCTAGAATGTTACAGTGGGATTCCTTCCCAGGTTATCCTCACAGCTTGAGATGCTTGTTTGTTCTTAAGATGAAAAGCACATATCTGCATTTTCGATGGATTAGGAATCTGCTGGTGTTCCCTGTAATAGGCAGTAAGAGCACCTAAAGCTTCATAGAGCTTGTGTTCAACCATTTCAAAGCTCTCTGCTTGAGCAAAAGTGGCACGATCGTCAGCACAGAACCAATTAATCATAGAATCATAGAGTTGGAAGAGACCTCATGGGCCATCCAGTCCAACCCCGACAAGAAGCAGGAATATTGCATTCAAATCACCCCTGACAGATGGCCATCCAGCCTCTGTTTAAAAGCTTCCAAAGAAGGAGCCTCCACCACACTCCGGGGCAGAGAGTTCCACTGCTGAATGGCTCTCACAGTTAGGAAGTTCTTCCTCATGTTCAGATGGAATCTCCTCTCTTGTAGTTTGAAGCCATTGTTCCATTGCGTCCTAGTCTCCAAGAAAGCAGAAAACAAGCTTGCTTGCTCCCTCCTCCCTGTGGCTTCCTCTCACATATTTATACATGGCTATCATATCTCCTCTCAGCCTTCTCTTCTTCAGGCTAAACATGCCCAGCTCCTTAAGCCGCTCCTCATAGGGCTTGTTCTCCAGACCCTTGATCATTTTAGTTGCCCTCCTCTGGACACATTCCAGCTTGTCAATATCTCTCTTGAATTGTGGTGCCCAGAATTGGACACAATATTCCAGGTGTGGTCTAACCAAAGCAGAATAGAGGGGTAGCAGTAATAAATAACTTAATTTTAAAGAAATGTTCAGAAATGGTTTAATAATAAAAACAGGGAGAGTCTAGCAAACTTCAAGAGAATTTCTGGTGCTACAACTAAATAATCTCTCTCTGTGTTACCCATAACTATTCATTTCATCACTTGGACCCAAATGAGTTGTTTCCACTACTCCAGGAGCAGCATCAGCACAGTTCCTTTTGGAGTGCCAGCGACCACATCCTCCTTTACTAAGAAACTTCATGAACTTAGGATGTTATCCAAAATCTAAAAAGGTCTGCTATTCTTGCAGTTCTAATGACCAGAATTGATGTGGGAAAATTGAGACAATCCTTCAGGAAGCTTATGCTTGTTCTCAGTATAAATAGGGGGAAAGGCCTCCAGTACAAGACCAAGCAAAATCTGGCCAAGACTTTTTTCCCCAGTTCTCTGTAATCAGATAAGATATAAGCAACTCTAAAATGTTCACCAAACTGCTTACAGTGCTCCAGCGAAAGATCCCATAAATTATTTGACATAGCAGAATGCTACTAGCCTATCACGATATGAAACTTAACCAATTTAAAGCAGACAGAACTAGCTAAGAATGCAAATGCAAATTAAATTACAGGGGGGGGGGGGTCCACACACTCTAGGATTAATGCTGACTGACACCAACACATTAATTGTCATGACTCATAAATGTACTGTTTTGTAGTTAAGGGTACAAGCGAATGGTCCAAACCTTCTAACAACATAAGATACTGCAATCCAATAAGTAGCTACCAGAGACAAGTCCATTTAAATCAATGAGATTTACCCCTCTCAAAAATTCATACACCCTTAACCATAGTAGTTATGGTTATCATGTTATGGTTATTATTTGAAAGTTAAGTAAATATATTTGTACTGAAGCATAAATAAAAATGTAATGTTCGTTTGTGGGATTAACATAGCTCAAAAACCAGTGGACGAATTGCCGCCAAATTTGGCCACAAGTCACCTACTAACCCAAGGAGCAACCCTCACTCAAAAATACTGATTTTGTCATTTGGGAGTTGTTGTTGCTGGGATTTATAGTACATCTACAATTAAAGAGCATTCTGAACTCCATCAATGACGGAATTGAACCAAATGTGGCACACAGGACTCCCATGACCAACAGAAAACACTAGAAGGGTTTGGTGGGCATTGACTTTGAGTTTGGGAGTTGTAGTTCACCTACATCCAGAGAGCATTTGCATTCAAACAATGATGGATCTGGACCAAACTTGGCACGAATAATCCATATGCCCAAATATGAACACAGATAAGAGTTTGGGGGAAATAGACCTTGACATTCGGGAGCTGTAGTTACTGGGATTTATAGTTCATCTACAATCAAAGAATGCATTTTGAACTCCACCAACGATAGAATTGGGGCAAACGTCCCACACAGAACCCCATGACCAACAGAAAATACTTAAGGGTATCCAGTCCAACTCCCTTCACCAGGGCAAGAAAACGTAATCAAAGCCCTCCTGACAAAGAGCCATCCAGCCATAGATATAGATAGATAGATATGATTCACACACAGAGAAATATAGTATCATAGATTTGAAAGGGAGCCCTAAAGTAGGATAATCATATGTTGCATGTTCCAGAGTGGGCAAACCAGACAATCTCCACATCAACACTGACAAAGAAACAACAAGAAACACTGTTGACCCACAAGCATAAAGAAATTACATATATTAGAAACCAACACTTTCTCATTACTTTATTTTCCAGATTACCAGACTGGGCCACAGCAACATGTGGCAGGGGACGGATAGTAAATGTTATAATAGTTTAATTAAGAGTTCTATCTTAAATTGCATTCTTATGGAAAGTAGTCAAATGTCATTACTGTGAAGTAATTCACACCTCACACTAACAAAATATAAGCATTGTAAACCTCACTTAGTTTCTCTTGCAGTTTGACAACTATTGTAATCTGTAATCCTATTAAAGGTGTATACATTGTGGGATACCTTGCATATATTGGGCTACATTGTGCATTGCGATAGTATGCATTTACATAAAAATGAACATAACCAGCTTAGTTACTCTGCTATGCACATTTAGTTCCAGTGTATGCTTAGTTAGGACAGTCTTACTGTGACCTATGGTGCTCATTCCAAAGGTATGCATAAGATTTTAGCCACAGTCAGTACATTAAATTCAATAATATGATGTGTGTGTCAGTGAGAGGATTCTACCATATTCAAATATTTAACTGCAAATATCATTGGCATTCAAATATTTGTTTGTTACATGTCTTCAAGTCTGCTCCACTTTACAGCAAACATATCATAGGAGTTTCCTGGCAATATTTCAAAGGATGTTCACCACTGCTTTCCTCTGAAACTGAGAAAAGGGTGACTTGACCAAGTCACCAAGTGAGTTTCCATGGCTCAGTGGGGATTCGATTTCTGATCTTCCAGAATCAGACATTTGGTTTACCTATGTCAATAATATTTCCTTTGATTAGCAGCAAATTCCTGGGAAGGAATCCCACTGGAGCATTGTAGCAAACTGAAATACTTGGGAGTTACCCTGGACCATGTGCTGACCTACAAGA